AATTTGAGTAACGGCATGTACAAGCTGGACAATTTTGTAATTAAGAAGATTTGTGACCAGGTGAGAAGGCCGGTTCACCTGACCATCTGACCTGACCACCAACCGTTGTGTGCTATTTAAAGATTAGTAGGGTCATTACCTAATACCTGACCATTGTGGACCTGGTCTCACCCATCTCTGTATATATACACTTTGATTTATATTTCTCTCTCTAGTCTGTACTCACCCCTGAAGATGTGAATTACACGAAAGCGCTTGGGAACTTCGTGTTTTCTTCTTTCCTTGTGGTTATCAGCATATACCTAGATCACGCGCACCTACAGTGATTTACTTGCATATATATATATATATATATATATATATATATATATATATATATATATATATATATATATATATATATATATATATATATATATATATATATATATATATATATATATATATATATATATATATATATATATATATATATATATATATATATATATATATATATATATATATATATATTACAGATTTTTGGCGAAATCGGCTTCTTTGGCAAAATTACCGGCATGCATATTGGCAATTTTGCAAAATAACCGATTTCACCTCCCCTCCCCCCACACAAAAAAAGGAGAGAGAGAGAGAGATTCTGATGGAGGGGTATTTAAGAAATGCGTAGTTAATACGAAATGGTTGCAAAATTAGGTATATGTTGTAAAGAAATACAGATAGAAGGAACTGAAAATATTCATCTATTACATGAGAGTTTTGACTATCTGACCACCACTTGAACAGATGTACAACAACCTGCTGCTCCGTGCTCGAGGGTTCTGCTCCACGAGAAGATTCTTCATCATTGAAGATTCCCTAGACTCTTACGTCATCCTAAACCAGAGCAACGTGAGTTAAATCCTTATTTATAATACTAAAATTAATATATTTCCTAGGTATAAATGCTCGTAAACTTTGTATGCTACATGTCTTGCTACACCTATTTACAGTCGATTCTCAGTGTAATTTCGAAAAATTTTGGCGTCGGTCTTATTGAGGAATGTAGGCCTTCAGTGGCCCCTCACACACCAGCAATGGGAGACTGAGGGAGGCTGGGCAGGATAAAAGACTTAACAGAGGGGAAATATAAAATACTTATTATTTAGGGCTCATTGTGTTACTGCATAATACCAAAGACATGCATGACATTGTTTTAGTCAACACAAGGTTATTGAGAACTAATTATAACGGTTCTTCATTTATTAATGACCTTACTCTAAATGAACAGTTACACTTTCAAAACAATAACCAATCTTCCTAGCCAGCTAACCAGGGGTTACATTTCGTAAAACGGATAAAACCTTAAAGGTACTCACATACCCTGCCATTTGGGGAGATGACACCCACGAAGCACCCACACTTAACTCTGTCAATAACCCGACTGTCTTTTTCAAACTGTGTCGGCCACAAAGGGACGCTACATTTTCATGATGTCACGCCTCACAGGCTTCCTCATTGCTTCAGGCAGACCTAAGGCATTCACTCTATTGGCTCGAAATTGGCGGGAACACTCCTGACATTGTTACAATACTAACCAGAAAATTGTAGTTTACAGTGACCTTAAACAATTTCAGTTCATGACTTGTATGAAAATAAGGAACAAGAGACTTAGTAGATGGTGTTTAACTCTGCAGCCATAAAATTTTGAGATCAAACATATTAAAGGCAAAAATAATCTCATAGCAGATGCTATATCTCGCGCATCAGACTGAAAAAAAACACAGGTGTTTTATCTTAGGGGGGGTAGTGTTATCTGTCATCGAATGTATATTGGATTTAGAAGTAATTTCCTTACGTATTCAGAGGTAATTATCCTGCTTGTTCAGTAGGTATGGCTATATTTTATCATACATTGTTCTTTTATGTAATAATTGTTGTATATTAGTTTGGTAAAATATGTATTAGTTATGTAAAATGAGTTGATAGTTGATGACATGGTATTCCCACTGTGTGGATCACTGGTCCACGGACTCAGCTGGTGAGTGGGGAGAGCCAGGAGAGCCTGGCTGGTGAGGGAGTGTGGTCTAAGGGTGGCACAGTTGGTCTGGACTCAGGAAATGTGTCTGTGGAGAAATTTGGTTTATTCTTTTGTACTGTTCAAGTGTATGGTAAGGCTGAGGTCAGGATTAGAATAATTTAGGCTGTGGTTGTTTCCATTTAATTTGTTCTTTTAGTTGTGTGTTTGTTTGTTTGTGTGTTTGTGTGTGTGTGTGTGTCCGCACGAGAATTTCGGAAACTACTTTACCGAACTGTAGTGATGATGGATGGTGTTATATGTAGTGATGTTGATGGATGGTGTTATAATTATGTAGTGATGATGGATGATGTTATATGTAGTGATGATGGATGTTGTTATATGTAGTGATGATGGGTGGTGTTATATGTAGTGATGATGGATGGTGTTATATGTAGTGATGATGGATGGTGTTATATGTGGTGTTGATGGATGGTGTTATATGTAATGATGATGGGTGGTGTTATATGTAGTGATGATTAGACAGCTGATTAACTGAATGCATGCCTCAAAGCATCATACCTTTGGAGAAGTGTTCAGACACTCACCCTATCCACAAACATGAGAGTACATCTACAAGGAGATCAGGATGCTGGACGGTTTGCAAACCTTCTACTACAGTTTGGGAATGGAACTTTCCCTGTTGATTCAGAAGGACAAATAATCATCCCTCAAGGATGTGGAAATGTTGTAAAGCCCTCAACTGAGCTCACTAATATGGTCTACCCAAACATTATCCACCACTACAGGGATCACAAGTGGCTGCATGAACGCGCAATTCTGGCACCAAAGAATGAAACAGTGGCTGAAATCAACATGACTCTACTCGGACAGCTTCCAGGCAGTGAGATCTCATTCAAATCTGTTGATACAGTAATCGACCAGGACCAAGCAGTCCAGTACCTTGCAGAATTCCTTAATTCTTTGGAGCCCGCTGCAATGCCTCCTCACCACCTCACTCTCTTTGATTGCAACTCCTATAATGCTCTTAAGAAAAATTGAACCCCCAATCCTCTGCAATGAAACAAGACTGGTGGTGAAGAAAATGATGCCACATGTACTGGAAGCTACAATACTGAGAGGAAAACCTAAAGGAGAGGACGTTTTTATACCAAGGCTACCTCTCATCACCACTGGCCTGCCATTTGAGTTCAAGCAACTTCAGTTCCCGGTTAAAGTGAGCTTTGCCATAATCATCTACAAAAGCCAGGGACAGTCCCTAAAGATGGTTGGCCTAAACATGGTGTTTCCTTGCTTCTCTTATGGACAGTTCTATGTTGGAGGCTCCAGAGTGGGAACTGGCAAAAATCTGTACATACTTGCTGCTAATGGCAAAACCAAAAATGTGTTCTACCTAATGCACTACAGTGAGACAATGTGGAGCCTCCTGAAGGGTGGCGTCCTACCGTGGCCAAGCGAAAGAGCCGCCCTCCGGGCGGCTATTCCCCTAGTGTGTATATATATATATATATATATATATATATATATATATATATATATATATATATATATATATATATATATATATATATATATATATATATATATATATATATATATATATACTGTATATATATTGTTGCGACCGTGTCTTATTTTTCTATTATTTTTTATAACATGCTTCCATGTTGTTCCATATTATTCCTGTAATGATGTGTTATATTTACTATTATATAATCTAGTCACCTTACCCTGTGCTGTTAAGGTTTTAACTGTTATTATTTGTTCAAGCCCATCTTATTTCTTCATTTAGTATTGTAACAAACATTCTTTGTTTCTCTAACGACCATCTGCATTGTTAAACGACCCATGTTTCACAGGCGTGTAGCATTGGCTGGAGCCATCACTATATATAGTACTCCACCAGCAGACGGAGTTAAGTCCAGTCCTCTTGTCATTCAGTTCACGTTCTTTTCAGTGACACCCGCCACCTGTTACTTGTACTTATTTTTTTATTGGGTTGTTCCAGTCGCCACCAATGTGGTATATCTATGTAAGTACCTATTCATGTCTCTTATGTGTCCATCAGTGCTTGCTTGGTTACTTTTAAGTAATTCAGTGTTGTTTCACGATAGTTAATATCAGTGTTAGTTATTTTATATGTTTATGTAGTGTTAACGTAATCCAGTGCTTTTGATGTTTTAGTATCATTTGTGTCTTAAAAGTTTCGATAGTGAATCAATTTGTAGTGACAGCCTACGAGGCTCTTTATTGTGTTAATATTTAATTTAATTAAATTCTTAAAGGTTTACTTTATTTATTTTTATTCCCTTTTGATTTACTTCACTTTTTTTTGTTTGGTAACGCCTAGAACCTGAATATTTACGGTAAATTAAGAGACGGCGTAACAATATATATATATATATATATATATATGTATATATATATATATATATATATATATATATATATATATATATAAATAGATATATATATATATATATATATATATATATATATATATATATATATATGTATATGTATATATATATACTGTATGTATATATATATATATATATATATATACACACATATATATGTACATATATATATATATATATATATATATATATATATATATATATATACTGTATGTATATATAAGTTATTATATAGGCAGGCAGAGAAAGAGATATATATATATATATAGAGAGAGAGTATATGCTGATAACCACAAGGAAAGAAGAAAACACAAAGTTCCCAAGCGCTTTCGTGTAATTCACATCTTCAGGGGTGAGTACAGACTAGAGAGAGAAATACAAACCAAGGTGTATATATACAGAGGAGGGTGAGACCAGGTCCACAATGGCCAGGTATTAGGTAATGACCCTACTAATCTTTAAATAGCACACAACGGTTGGTGGTCAGGTCAGATGGTCAGGTGACCCGGCCTTCTAACCTGGTTACAAATCTTCTTAATTACAAAATTGTCCAGCTTGTACATGCCGTTACTCAAATTCATGTTGAATGCTTCGGTATGTTTAATAAGACTAGATTCTATGATGTTCCTACTATCAATTGAATTACATGGTAATATTGAGGAGGCATTATCCCAGTCAATGCAATGCTTGTTATCCCTCAAATGAACAAACAGAGCATTGGACTGCTCATTTGAGGGATAACAAGTATTGCATTGGATTGCATGCTTCCTCAATATTAATATATGGGACCAGGGTGAAAAAATACAGGCTAGTCTGTACTCACCCTGAAGTATAAATTACAATGTTTTGGGAACTTCTGTGCTTTTCTTTCTTGTGGTTATCAGTATATAGTGCTTATATATATATATATATATATATATATATATATATATATATATATATATATATATATATATATATATATATATATATATATATATATATATACTGAGAGTTGGGGATTTAGAAACTGGTTTAGAATATAGTTAAAAGTCTACCCAGATCCCAACAGGCAACAACAATAAAAAAACTAAACAAACAAAGACAATCGGACTATAAAAGGGTAGACAAAGGATGCGAGTTTTTGTTGTGTATAATAAAGTACAATAAATTCCTTAACAAAATATCCAGCTTTCTATAATTTACCCTTAACCATACTTAACTTAAACATACGCAACATTGGCTTAACAGTATATACATATTTATACAACATACAACAATCTGAAGCAAGTGGAGGTGGGAGGTAATATAGGGTTACAATACTCAAGTGCGGTGCTGAAGTGTCTGACGAGTAGGGCTGAGTATTGAAGAAGATGGTAGGTAGTCACTGTGCCGTAGGTTTCCAGGATAGGTAATCCAAGTGTGGTCACTTCCCAAGAGTGAACTGAACTCTCCTCGATCCGGAGCTGATGAGGAAGAGTTGGAGGAGGTGATGCAACAACCAGGATATGGAGAAAGGAAACCCGGAGTGGTGACTAAGACTAGTCATACTCGGGTAGCGTCCCTAGATGGCGTTGCTCGGTAGTGCTGGGTAGTTAGATCATGACACAATAGATTGCGTGGTTCGTAATAATATATATATATATATATATATATATATATATATATATATATATATATATATATATATATATATATATATATATATATATATATATATATATATATATATATATATATATATATATATATATATATATTTTTTTTTTTTTTTTTCATGTAGATCCTCAATGAAAACGTGGATAAGATAAATCTACGTGTGTGTTGGTGTGGGGATTAGTGGATGACATCATTATGACCTGACCTCATGTTTTTAAGGTCACCCTGTATATTTAAGCCTCTCTCTGTCCATGTAATCCAGTTGCCTCTGAAGATGTACTTTAATAAAGACGAAAGTTAAGGTGGTCCGCTGTTTCCCTTTTTCCGTGTGATTTTATCAAGATATATATATATATATATATATATATATATATATATATATATATATATATATATATATATATATATATATATATATATATATATATATATATATATATATATATATATATATATATATATATATATATATATATATATATATATATATATATATATATGTTTCATGTAGAGTAGAATCACAATTGAAACATGGACAAGACAAATTTCGATAAAACCATTTACTTAGTATCTCAATATCCTTCCATTTGAGATTTCTTAAGTTTCTGCACTACTTTCTTATTTTGCTTCCATTTTCTCCAGTGATTCATTTGCTTCAGAATCTTGTCTTGCTACTTAGCCTCCATTTCCTATTGAGTCATCAGTTTTTTTCAGACTCTGATTGTACACACACACACACACACACCACCGACGTGTCAAGACGGGTCAGACGCACCTGGCGCTGCTCAGCAGCTGCCACGACAACTGTTATGTTTGCCCATACCAACTCCCTCCCCTGAACCCTCCTCTCCACCGGAATATCAAGAAGTTCTCGCCAGAAGTTACTATTTCATTTGGGAAAGGAATGGAACCAGTGTTGAATAGTGGTGAAAAGTGTTTAAGTCAGGGAAAAACAACTCGGCAGTTGAGTCTGAGCCAAGCTAACCTTCACACAGTGAGGCCCCAGGTACCCAGTGATAATTCCCCTGAGACTCCACGATAGGGAGGCCTGGGACCACACCTCACCCACTTGAGTGACTGAAGTCCTGTGACAACAGATCACGTTGTGTCCCCATGATGCACGACACCACGTAGTGAATGAGTTGCTACAGAATCATGTGAAGTTCATCATAACACCATCTGCGAGGGAATTACTACACCACGTGATGCCCATCATAACACCATCTGTGAGGGAATTACTACCGCATGTGATGTCCCTCATAACACCATCTGTGAGGGAATTACTACGCCATGTGATGCCCCTCATAACACCATCTGTGAGGGAATTATTACATCATCAGGCCCCTCATACACCATCTGTGAGAGAACTACTACATCATCAGGCCCCTCGTAACACCATCTGTGAGGGAATTACTACACCACGTCAAACCCCTCATAACACCACCTGTGAGGGAACTACTACTCCACGTGATGTCCTCATAATGCCATCTGTGAGGGAGTTACTACACTACGTGTCTCCTGTTCAACACCTCAGCTCACATGATCTACGTGTGTAAACATTAATCCTTCACCTTTCTCTAATGAAGGCTTTTGTTAAACCACCAATGTATGTAATAAGTCATTTATGTCCAATGTATATTTTCAGCCTTCGGGCTGCAAACTTTTTCATAAACCGTTTATTATTATTATTATTATTATTATTATTATTATTATTATTATTATTATTATTACACACACACATACAGACACAAAGTGGAGGATCAGATACACTTTCTCAGAGCGAAAGCATATTTATATTACAAATTATCGAGTTAACAAGAAAGTATTACAGTGATCCTAGCTTGAGACTCCTCGCATGTTGCAGAAGCTTTGACACAAATGTAATGTTTACACTCAGTCTCACACATTTCAGGATCAGCATTCGTATTTCATTCCCTACTGCAGAGAATATGAAGTGGATCAGTTGATGAAGGCACTGGAGGAAACGTCCTTGGTAAATTGGCGGGGAGACTTGTTGTTTGGAGACATCCAGACGTTCCTAGTGAACCCAATTCAGGCATTGGCTCAAAAGATGGGAGTCAGTCTCACTGAGGATAGATACTACCGCTTCACCTACCACCCTCACCTAGACACCGAGTCCCTCAGGTAGGTGACAAACCCTCATATATCTCTCTTACCTGGATACTGAGTGTCTCGGATTGTTTAAGAGCAGCAGACATGTATAATATTTTGTGAGGATATTGAATAATTCCAATAACTGAGTAACTGTTCAAGTCCATTTGGTTTTCTCTGAAGTTAGGTTTTGTAGAAGAACGTGACCACACCATTACTGACGTGTGAATAAATATGTGTGTCCCTTTCTTAACTGATATGTGTCTATTGTCTTTGCCTTCCTTCCAATTTTGTGATGGATAGAAATACAAGCCTAAGAAAGAAACAAATTGACAAGGAAATTATTTACAAGAAGTTTAGATAGTGGCAAGAAAGAGTTAAAACAACAAATAGAATACAGGCTGTTAATGAAATGTGGAAACATTCTTCAGCAGAAAGTGTGTTCATATAAGGAAAAATGATGGGAATATAAATTACAGGCGTAGTATCACATGCACTGTACATGAGTTTAGGTGCAGTCAAATAAACGACCTTTTTGTTGTTTTAGAATAAGACGAATGAACAGTCTTTATGTTAAATTAAATACAGCCTTGGATTGCTTTTGTTTTCCTTGCCGTGCAGTCTTAGCGATCCCTGTTCACATGTAGAGGTCCATGGTTCGATTCCCGACAAGCAAGGTATTCTTAGCGTATGGAAGCCCGGATGTACTGTATATGGACTGCTAAACAAGGATAGCCCGAAGTGGTTGTGATTGGTGGGGGGGGGGGTAATTTTTTTTGTCCACTCGCTACTCAGCCTATCAAATTTGACCAACTAATGATGATTAAAAAAATGACAAAGCGAACTACAAAATTTTCTTTATTGAATATTTAATTATTAAAGATTAACATAAAAATTTGATGGATAAAGTAAAATCTTTATTCAAAGAGAAAGAAATAATGATTTTTTTTTATTTACTGTTTTGATAAAATTAGCAGCATTAACCTATAAATAGAAAATAAACTTAATTTGTAATTCTCCTAGTTTTCTTAAGCTTCCAATTATCTGCAATCTTTTGAAGATCTAACTGATCAGTTTTGTCATTTTCACATGCTATGAGCATAAGGTTATGCAACCGTTTTTCTTTATCGCTAAAAGACCTTTCACTTTTACATACTGAAGATGGTGCTGTCAAGAACAACCTGGAAACTTTTGCCATAAGAGGAAATACAGTAAATGATACTTTCTATGAGCATTCAGTGCACATTCTGCAGCTCAGTAAATGGTTTTCCACAACAGGATGCTGTTCCACATATTCACAAAAATTAATGTTCAACACCTCTAATTCACCAAGTAAGGGTTTAGTGGTGTTGGAGTGGGGGCTGTGCTCCTACAACCCGACCCAACCACTGATGTTCTTCACCCTGTGGCATATTACTCCGCCAAGTTGAAAAAACATCAGACCAACTACTCGACCATAGAGAAGGAGGCCCTGGCTCTGGTGTTGGCAATAAAGAAGTTTGAATGTTACCTCCAGTCTTGCCCACAAACAACCCTAGTCTTCACCGACCATAACCCACTCACGTTCATCCAAACCAATAAGTCCTCCAACCAGCGAATGCTCCGCTGGGCTCTCCTCACCCAGCCCTATAATCTACAAGTCCGGCACATAAAGTGGGTGGACAACCTGATTGCAGACTCCTTATCCCGAGCTCCAGTGGAAATGCAGCAGCTACTCTCCAGACGCACCAGTTGATCACCTCCTTCGCGCCAGCGCTACGGAGGTCTTTGGAGGGGGGGTGTGTTACGAACCCCTCCACCCAGCACTACGAACCACGCCATCTATTGTCTTGATCTACCTACCCAGCACCACGAGCAACGCCATCTAGGGACGAGACACGAGTATGACTCGTCTTAGTTAACACTCCGGGGTTTCCCTTCTCCATATCCTGGTTGTTGCGTCACTTCCTCCAAGTCTTCTTTGTGAGCTCCAATTCGAGGAGAGAGCACTTGGCTCTGGGAAGTGACCACAGGATCATCTATCCTCTAAACCTACGACACAGTGACTACCTACCGTCTTCTACAATACTCAGCCTTACTCGTCAGCCATCTCAGCTCCTCACTTAAGTATTTGTATCTTGTATTGCCTCCCCCACGTCCACTTGCTTCAAGATTGTTTTATGTTTTATTAATATGTATATACTGTTAATGTTTAGGTTAAGTTTGGTTAAGGGTAATTTATAAGCTGAATATTTTGTTAAGGGATTTATGGTACTCTATTATACACAACGAAAACTCTCATCCTTTGTCTACCCTCTTATAGTCCGATTGTCTTTGTTTGTTTTTTTTTTGTTACCTGTTGGGATCTGGGTAGACGTATAACTATATTCTAAATCCCCAACTCGTAACAACACGTACAATCTTACATTAATCTGTATGTTCACTGTATGTTCCTTTACCTTTCTCTAATGAAGGCTTTTGTTATACCACCAATGTATGTAATAAGTCATTTATGTCCAATGTATATTTTCAGCCTTCGGGCAGCAGAACTTTTTCAATAAACAGTTAATTATTATTATTATTATTTACGTCACAGAAGTAGTGGCGGAACTTGCTGATGGTGGCGGCAGACGTCGTATCATTACGGCACTTGATGACAACCGGCCAACCAGAGAGACGGTCGACGATGACAAAGAAGGACTTTCCTGACACACAGAAAAAGTCGGCCGACACAGACTCAAATGGGCGGGTGTTGTAAAGGTCGTACCGGTTGCTAGGGAATCCGTTCCTCACGCACTTG